TGCCTTGGTGGTCTCCAATGTTCCCTCTAAGCTGAGTTAGTGTGAGCTAGCTCACAGATTTTTAGCCTCTGGCTCACACGTTTTTTCTTAGCTCAGGAAGGATGGCTCCAGAGCAAACTAATTTATGCAGTAGCCAAATCGCTCACTCACACTTTAATGCCAGTAGCTCACAAAGTAGAATTTTTGTTCACAAGACTCCACAGCTTAGAGGGAGCATTGGTGGTCTCCCATCCAAATACTAACCATAGCCAGCCCTGCTTAAGTTTCCAAGCTCTAGACAAGCTCAGGCAACTCTGCGGTATTCTGACGGCTATAAGCATCCCCTTTCAGAGGAAAGCAATGGCTTCTCAGTTGCCTTGAAAACCGCATGTAGTGGCCAAAAGTCGGCTGTGACTTGGTGGCACTTCACTCTCACTCTCTCTCTCACTCACACACACACACTGATTTCATTTATCTCTGCTGTTTTATATATTTTTATAATTTACTTCACTTATAGTCTAACTTTCTCACAGAGACTCAAGGTAGATTACAAAAATTAAGAGCTGACAAGAAATACAATAAAAGCAATCTACAAACTTTCAGCAAACATATAATATATGTAGACAAAGGTGACCTGATAAGACATTATATAACTGGACTTTCAAAATGTCTTTGACAAGGTACCTCTCCAAAGACTCCTCAGTAAACTGATATTGTAATAGATCTCTGGTGTGGCCTCATTTGGAATATTGTATAAAGCTCATGCCTTAAATAAAACTTTGTTGGTCTTAAGTGTGCCACTGGACTCTAACTTCGTTCTACTGCTTCAGACCAACACGGCTGCCCACCTGGATATGTGTACAATTCTGCTCATCATATCCCAAAAAGGACATTGCAGGGCTGGAAAAAGTACAGAGGAGGGCAACCAAGATGATTAGGGGGTTGGAGCACCTTTCCTATGAGGAAATGCCAAATAGACTGGGACTTTTCATAGAATCATAGAGTTGGAAGGGGCCATACAGACCATCTAGGCCAAACCCCTGCCCAATGCAGGACCAGCCTAAAGCATCTCTGATAAATATTCGACCAGCCTTTTCTTGAAAGCTGTCAATGAAGGGGAGCTAACCACCTCTCTAGGCAGCTGATTCCACCTTTGAACCACTCTGACGGTGAAAAAGTTTTTCCGGATAGCCAACTGATACCTTTCTGCATGTAATTTAAAACCGTTGCTTCAGGTGCTATCCTCTGCTGCCAACTGGAACAGCTCCTTGCCCTCCTCCAAATGACAGCCTTTCAAATATTTAAAGAGAGCAATCATGTCCCCCCCAATCTCCTCTTCTCCAAACTAAACATTCCCCAAACCCTTAGCCTATCCTTGTAGGGCTCAGTCTCCAGACCCCTGATCATTCTCATCACTCTCTTCTGCACCCTCTCGATTTTGTACACATTCTTTTGCCTCTTTTTTTTTGCCACCGCATCACACTGACTGCTCATATTTAGTTTACAGTGTGGCCCAGATGTAATACTGTGCATTTATCTTTGTTGAATTGCATCCTGTTTGCAACTGCCCACTTCTCCAGAGTATTCAGGTGTTGTTGAATTTTAACTCTATCTTCTTGGGTATTTGCTACTCCTCTCAATTTGGTATCATCAGCAAATTTAATGAGTAGCCCTTCTATCCCTTCATTTAGATCATTGATAAAAATATTGAAAAGTACTGGGCCCTAAACTGAGCCCTGCGGCACCCCACTGGACACCTCCCTCTGATGAAACGCCATTGACCACCACTCTTTGGGTGCGGTCCTCTAACCAGTTCCCTATCCACCGAACTGTCCTATAGTCCAGCCCATAGTCTTTCAGTTTGCCCATCAGAATGTCATGGGGAACCTTATCAAAAGCTTTACTGAGGCCCCGAGCACACGGGCTGGAAAATGCGGGGGGGGAGCGTGGCTGTTTGCCCTGGGGCAAACTAACGCGCGACTGGGAGATCAGACGTCCGGTTGAGGTCCCGTCGAGGTCCCGTGGCTAGGGGGGAGGTGCCAATCACACCACAGGCAAAGAAGTGGGGCGGCGCGGCAAACGGGGTTGTTTTGGTTTTTTACTTTTTTAAACTGAAGTGTGCACATGCTCCGTTGGGTGCTTGTGCACATCCGTAGAGCCTTGGGGGGGGAATGACCTGTTTGCGAGGGAACATGGGCGGGCTCCGGATGCCACCGGAAACGCGATCAGACGCCCGCCCTTGCCCTGCGGTTTCCAGAAACTAGTACCTTCGAGGTACTAGTTTTTTGCCGCGCATCTTTGGAGGGAAGCCTTGGTTGGGCCACGGGAGCTCTACGCTTCCCAGATGTGGCGGTGAGATCGCGCTTGGAAAATCCGCCTATCTTCCGTCTCTCTAGCGTGGCTACTGTTCCGTGTGACCGCAGCCTATAATCAGTTTAGAAAAGAGACGACTAAGGGGGGGACATGATAGAGGTTTATAAAAGTATGCATAGGGTGCAGAGAGTTAACAACGAGAATTTTTTCTCCCCCTCCCAAAATAGTAGAACTGAAGGACATCCAATGAAGATGATGGGCAGTAGGTTCTGGATGGATAAAAGAAAATTCTACTTTATACAGAGAGTGACTAAAATGTGGAATTTGCTGCCAGAGGATATAGTGATGGCCACAGGAATAAACAGCTTTAAAGAGGGATTAGAGAGATTCATGGAGGATAAGTCTATCAGTGGCTACTAGACATGGTGACTGAGGGGTACATCCACATTCAGAGGCACTAATCCTCTGAATCCCAGAGCCAAGAGGCAACATCAGGGGAAGGCCTCCACCTCTATGCCCTATTGTTGGCTGTCCAGAGGAACTAATTGGCCATTTGTGAGACAGGATGCTGGACTAGATGGAGTATTGGTCTGATCCAGTAGGACTCTTCTTATGTTCTTAATATCTCCTTCATAGAAATGCCCTCCTGAAGAGTTCTGTTTTGCATATTCTATACGATGATAATAGTGTGGGAGCCTTTCATAGGTAGTCTCCAAGTACGTGATAAAATATTATTAATTATTTTAGTGTAAATTGCCTGTACAGCCAGATAGGCTAAGACGCATGCAATATAAATGCATTAAATGAACAAACAAGCTACAACTTGATCATTCAGAATTTGTGCAGACATGCCACAGAGCCTTAACTGATACATATGTCGTAGCAGGCTGATGCCTGATGCATTAAAAAAAAAATCAGTAACCTAATCCTGAACAGTTTGTCTTTTTGGTAAAGAGCTTGGGCAGGGCTTCTGTTTTTAAATGTTAGAGTGTAATTTTTTTAAGAATATATTTTTAGAGTTTAAATTTAAATATAAATTTTCTAAAAAGAAATTGTTAACTCCTAACAATCAGATACCAAATCTGTTATCATCTGGATTTTGTTCCCACAATCTATTTAATACAGTCTGCATTGTGACCAGTCACTATTTAATATATCAGTTCCATTTTTTATCACATGAAGATTACACTATATTGGTAACATATACTCTTTTTCTGTGATTTCTGTCATCAGAAATGTCCTACCTATTTCCCAGCCATCATACCACCTTTAATGATTACAGTTTCTTTCCTTTTCCTAAAGCTGAATGATGTGGCATTGTACCAAATGTAAGACACTATATTTATCTTTAACAGATGCTAAACCTTGTCTCTTCCTGATCTCAAACCTTCCTTCTTTTTGGTTCACAGTTCTAATTTATTGGGGAGGATGAATGGATGCCAGGATACAACTGTGCAAACTCTGCACAATTTAAAAAATTACAAACACATGCCAATTTCTGTCTATGAGGAAGTTGTTTGAAGAAAAGCACTGAAGCTTTAAGTATTCCTGTTCCCACAGGCAACCCTAGACAAAACTAAAAAGAAACTCAAGAAAAGAGTGCTAGTCTGAATCTATAAAATAAACACACTTGTTGCACATAAATCAGTGTTACCTGCAGCAGTGAAGGTAACATGCACATTTTAAATACAGTACACAAACCCAGAGGAAGGAACCCTAGTCCACATCTTTGGATCATCTGCTTTAAGCTTTACAAGGCTAAATGTTTTATCAGTGCTTCTGACCCCTTGCACACTGTTCACATTTCAAGGTGAAGGTAAAAGGAATGACAACAAATGCCTTTTGGCAGGTATTGGTTCTTTCCCAATAATTATAGGAATGCACAGATTTTACAAAAGACCTAAGGATCACCTTGGAAGCAAGAAATGTTTTAATGTCTTCCAAAGGTCCTTCACAAAAGCAACACCTTCCTATGGTCATTCAGAAGGAACCAATGCATCCCCAGTCATTCCTTTCAGTGCCGTTCACGTCTCCGTCCAAGACAGTCCCCACTCCTGACAGGGAGGAGCTGCTGTGCCCTACAGCTGACCTCCCCCAGGTGAGCAAGGAGATGGACAGGTAAGGGGACGTACTACTAGAAGTTTTCCTTTGCTCTGGGCTTTGAACCAGGCGCTACCACAATGCCTAGCTATGAACACATAAAGCTGCCGTTCTGGAAGTGTTTCTTTATGGAGATAGGTGCCACAAGCCAGCAAGTGCCAAAAGGAAAGGCTGCGGCATTTGAAATCCTGCGATGCCTCAAAGGAGAACCCTCTGAAATGCACATACCCATACGGGGGAAGAGATATGTAGTGCTGGGTTTGGTTTGGTTGCCTTTCTGGGTGGTATTTCTGTGTGCGGTCGAGGAGATTAAGAGAAAGGGAGCGTCAGTCTGGCTGGGCACGAAACAAAGAAACAGCCCAAGGGACATGCCCTGGCAAAGGCGGAACAAGCCTTAAACGCAGGCAAGGGCCAGGGCGGGAGTTTCCAAACGGCATCATCAAGTCGCAGCGCATCCACGGATAGTCTGGCGAGGCGAGAGAGAGACAGAAAGGACCCCCCCCCCAGGGGGGGGGAAGAGAGAGCCCCCCCTCTCTCCCGGTTTCCCCGTCTGTCGCTCTCGCTTCGCTCTCAAAACACCCCTCCCTCCTTTCTCCCCCGCCTCTCACCTTCGCCTCCCGCCAATTTCAGAGAGAGACGCAGAGCTGACTCCGTCCCCTCCCCCTCCACGGGAAAGGCTCGGCGCAGAAAGGGGAGGGAAAGGTGAGCCCTTTGGCGCATGCGTGCAAGTGTCGATTTGGGATTACTAATCCTACCCCCCCCTCCCTTGGGCTCTGAGAGCAGTTTCTAAACGCTGGACCTTGAGAGCGCATGTCCTAACGTGAGCGCGTATGAGAGGCGGAGAAGAGCATAACCTTGGGGGGAGGGGAACGGATCTACTGACGCTGTAACCTCCTGTTCAGAAATGAAGTCGCTCCACAAGCCCTTTCAGAAGGAAACAAAGCTTCGTGGAATTGTTGGAACACTCATCTGAGTCCTGTTGTTGAAAATAAAATGTATAGTACTGCAGTGCTGGCTTTGTTTTGGGTTTTGCTTCCAAGTTTCTCCTGCAATGAGGAGGGTTAAAATGGTTACAAGCCCAGTCGTGAAAAACGACCGAAATCCATTCCTGCAATGTTCACAGCGTTTGCTAACTCTCTGCAGCCCTGATGAGACGAGATAAAATTCTTGAGAGTTGGCCACAGTTTGAAGTTCATTATTTGAAGTTCATTGCTCTGACTCATCTCATCCAAAATTACAAGCTTTTTTGCTGAAATTCTCTGGAGAGGTGGTGAGCTGGCAGTGACCCACCTTTCATACGACTATAACCCTAAAGCTAGATTATTATTTTCAGGGCTCTAGTGGGGGGGGGGGAGCTCTCAGGTACGGAGCTCCGGAAGAGAACCTCTAGGGGGCGGGGCGGTCACGTGGTGAAGCCCCGCCCCCTTCTTTACCCCGCCCTCTGCTTCGATCCTCATTCCGTTTGGGAATGAGGATGAAGCAGGAGGGTAAGTAGCCGGGCCTTCTGACACACTTCCGGTGATGTCAGGGGGTGTGGCCTTCTGTCACTTCCGGTGATGTCAGGGGGCGTGGCATATGCAAATAAGTTATGCTAATGAGTTATGCTAATGAGCTCCGGCAGCTCTTTTTCTACAACAAGACCCCTGATTATTTTTATTTGTTCTCAACCGTAGGTAGGGTGAAGTAACTCCCCTCACAGATTTCCGGGTAAACATAAAGGACAAAAATTCGAGTGAGGTTGCCACATATGGCCAACTGTATAGTTTACTTTTTTTCCCTACCAAAGGGGGGGGGGGGAAATCATTATAATTTATCTGCCACAGACAACAATATATTGTGCAATCTGCGATAAACACTGCCATCCTGGGATTAAGACTTCTTGGATAAAACAGAATTTACTTCTGAGTAGACCTGCTTTGGCTTGCTTCCTGGCAGTTTCTGTTGGCATACTAATTTACAATTGTGATTCAACAAAAAATGTTTTATATCAGTTTTCTAGAACCTGAACCGTCTCTATCTGGCTCCCACTCCCGGCATTTGATTGACTGTATCCTACAAAATTTCTAGCACCAAACAAAAATGGTTATCTGACATAGCACTGCCTCTGAACAGCTAGGCCAAGCAAGCCACACAACAACTGATATTTTCAGTTACTGTTAAATAGCCCTGCGTTCCATGGAATTATCATGGCTGTCTTCCCTTGAATACTTACCAGTGGATGGTCAAGCCACTATGAGCTGGTTATACTGTTGCTGATGTGATGAGAAGCAAAGCCTGTTTCCTACCACTCTGCTCAGCCTTTCTCCAACAGAAGATCCAATTAATTTGACTGAAGGCTTAAACCTTTGCTGAGTGGAGTGGTAGGATGTGGGTCATTCTGTGCAAAGTACTTGTGCTATTTTCAAGTATATGTCACATGAAATTTCTAAAAAAAATGATCACACTGACAAATTTACTCATATTCTTAAGAACATGGAAATTATAACTTAAAGTTGCCACTTCCATTTTTATACCATGTAAGCAGTACAGATGTTACAATCTGACATCTCATGCCTGCTTAACAGTTAAGGCTTAAATACAGCTTCACTTTCCAGTTTAGATCCCCCCCCCATGCTGTCATTGCTATTGCGTCCATTAATTCAAGTAAGCATTCAGTATAATTAATTTTAGTAACATTCTGATATATTCGTGTGCAATTGGGGCAGGATTGTAGCTCAGTGGTAAACATCTGCTTTGTATGGAGAAAATCCCATGTCAGTCCACAGCATTGTGAATTAAAAGGATTCCTTGTTAAAAGGATCTGAGATTCCCAGGTTTGAAAACCCAACTCTGTCATGGATACTTGCTGGATTGTTTTTATTCAGTCCCACACTTTCACACTAATCTACCTCATAGGATTTGGGGGAGGATGAGATGGAGATGAGAATGTTGTATGCTACTTTGGGTCCTGTTAAATACAGGGTTCCATGGATGGTCTGACCCCAAGCATAGTGATCAGCTCTGCTTTATCAGCATGAACAAGACAAAGACCCAGGGCAACAGCCCTGTTTAAATAGCATGCAAACTCCACCTACTTCCCAGACAACTACCAACAATAGGCTATTGTCAGAACCATTAATTCCTCATTGGCCCCGTCCAGAGTCCTGGTGAGCTAGAGCTCTAAGCTTAGCCAGTCTCTGATAGAAACAGTCCTGGAATGTTCCAGTCCCAATACATAACAGGTCCCTACTAGGGTATAAATGAAGTCAAATTAGAAAGAATATATATATTGTTCCTCCAACTGGCAAAGGAAAGTGTACATGGAGCCAAAAGCTGTGAGAAGACAATGGTAAGACTCTACAACATCTGTAGCATTCACTTGGGATGGAAGTTAAGGTAACATCCATTTTCAGGACTAGATCTCTGGAATAGTTATAAATCTTTGACAGACAAAACCATAACCAGGACTAGATCTCTGGAATAGTTATAAATTTTTGACAGACAAAACCAGCAAAAAAAAATTAAATGTATATATTGAGTGTGCAAAAAATCAATTGTAAACTGTAGCCCAATTTCACCATTAAACTGGTAGATTCTCTGTAACAAATGTAATATTTGTTTTTAGCCAGTCCCACACTTTCACACTAATCTACCTCATAGGATTTGGGGGAGGATGAGATTTGTTAAGATTTGTGAGGATGAGATTTGTAACATTTGTGTACTAAATAGAATCTTCACACATTATACCAACTGAACATTAAGAAATGAACAAGGATTAACACAGTTACTCTCAAGGCTGTATACCCTCAAGGCAGCTTTATATTACATGATGCTTGTGTGCATAGTAAGGCTGTATTCTTGTATTGCTATCTCACCTTATACTCACTAAATTGCTCAGCTGTGGCCAGACCCACAATTAATTTGCAATATATGAGCACTAAATGTATGGAGCTGGCTTATACTGAATCAGACAGTGGTCCCTTGAGCCAGGTACTGTTTACCCAGACTAGGAAGATTCCTTCTCCAAGGCCCCATGGGGTTCTTAGCTACGTTACCTTTGATCCTTTTTAAAAACTGGAACTCCAGGGACTGATCCTGCAACCTCCTAGGTGCAAGATATGCCACTGAGATATGTCCCCTCCCTAGAACATTATTACTACTTTTTCATGAATAAGATATTTACAATGCTATCATAAACAAATTTACATCTTTCTATGCCCATTGACTTCAGTGAGTTTACAAGAGTGTAACTCTGTTTAAGATTGCACTGTACATCATACAGTGTAGTTAAAAAGCTCATGCAATGTAAAGCAGAGAGCATCTAGAAATGCCATAGTAGTCAGCTGTTCATCTGGAATTATATTATATTCATCTAAATAGCCAGATTGCTATAATATTTTTGAAGAGGATTTCATGGACTGTAAAACATCAACAGTTCTGTGAATACATGCCCCTTCTGACATTCTGTATCTGAGTTGTCTTATCAAGTGTGAAATTTTTCAAGTATGGTATTTCTAATATTCTGAATATCTGCAGTAAGTACTGGCTGAAACTATTCTGTTAGAAGTAGTTGAACTAAACCACTAAAGTACTTGCACATAAGATTACATTTTTGTAGATACTAAGCTCTTACCAGTTTAATTGTTCCAGCATGTAGCTATTATTGTATTCTAATATAATGAACCTGAGCCCTGAAGAGGAATTAGTAGATTCTTCTCTAGCTCACTGTGATCAGTTTGCAAAGCACTTTGCAAATAAAATCTATCACATTTCCAAGTTGGTTACAATCATACTGAAGGTTCTTCAGGTTTCCATCTGCCATATTCAAAGGAATACCTTTCACTTGCTGAAACCTAAAGATATGGACAAGTTACCTGAAGAAGTAAAACTCGCTATTTGTCCTTCAGAGTTATGAAAACTGCTAAGAGTTGTTTCTATTCCCAATTGTTCTCTTTCTGAAGATCTGTTCTCTCTAGCTTTTAGAAAAACAAAAATAAGAGCATTTTAAAAGAAGCCTTCTCTGAATCTAATTTATTTGTAGTTCAGTGCTAAGCAGAGTTAATCAACTGAATTCAGTGGTCTGAAAAGTGTAACTCTGCTTAGGAGCACACTGTTAAAAGCTATCAGCCAGTGTCATTTTTGAGCAAGTGTAGAGGCAAAACAATCTTGAGTTTTCCTGCATTAAACTAATTATCTGGATCCTTTCCCATCTGGATTCCAGCCTGGCTATGGCAAGAAAACCACCTTAATTGCCTTGCTAGTTTACATCTCAAGGGAATGTGTCTCTGTTGGTTCCCATGTACCTCTCAGTGGAGTGTGATACCAACACCTTCAGGGTTGTTTCACTGATACGAGTCTTGGTGCTGCTGTCCTGTATTGGTCTCAGTCTTTTTTGAAGGTAACTCCCAGAAGGTATTACTGGAAAATTTCTGTTCAGACCTTTGGGTTCTGGCCTGTGGTATTCTCCAAAGCCTCTACCTTACCCCATGTGGTTTAACATGTACATGAATCTGCTAAAACAGATTTATACAGGGGTTAGATTACAGTGTTACCAATATGCAGATGACAGACAATCTCTGTTTTCTATCTAAATTGAGGGAGGCTTTGGGAATACTTAACCAGTGTTCAGAGGTAGTGAGGGATTGGTTGTGGGTAAATTAAAACTAAATCCAGAGAAGATGGAAATACTTGGAGTTCAAAAT